AAATCCAAAATGAAAAAGGGGTAGATCTTGCTTAGGAATAAGATACTTGGAGAAGAACCGATCAATTAAGTAAACCAGAAAGAAGATAATCTATGGCACATATTGATAACATAGTGGTCATTCCCATGCTGTTGAAGAAGAATGAAAACAGCAAATCATGATGAAGTGTGTACCTTCAGTCTATTTGCAGAACTCTTCCAGTAGATACTGCACCCTTCATACGTCATTGGAAAGAGAATATGTATAAAGAGAATCAAAAGAGTTACTCCCTGCACAGAGAAAAATGTATGTAAAGAAAGCTCAAGCTATAAGAAGACCGGAAGCTCCAAAAAAAAGCACCAACAAGTAAATTACACATAAACGATAAGAATTATGTTTTCAGTATATATTATATTATTTCTAGCAACGGTGACATTGCAAGTGGTATTCTATACAGCAGAGATTCCAATCTTTTACATTATTCATACCATAAATGTTAGACTGCAGTTTCAAATTTTAGATATATAGCATCCTATGAAATATAAATGTTACATCACAGAGTAGAAATTCATCAAATTAATTGTGTTGGAATGTCCCCAATCATGCTGCATGATTTCCTCAAAACCAATCAGCCCTTCACACAACCTCGAACTCCCTCGTGCTTGATTATTAATTTGAATTCAGTTATAACAAGAAAACACACCAACACTGTGCATATACATGAAGGTAATGAAATAACAGGCAAAGCATCAACCTCAACGTTTTATTTTATTCTTCAATTCCATCCACGTAAGAGGCAAGCTTAAGGCACACTCAATCATGCAAAAATGTGCAGGCCAACAATGCATAAACGGGAACGTAAATCTCACTGACAATCAATGGGGCAATTGCAATAAATCAGATGGTGGCAGTTTCACAACTGCTCCTAACTGCTTGCAATGCCACACGATATATAGCATGTTTCAGGAAATCATTATTGATCAGTGAATGTATGATTTGTATACATCTACAAATACTTCTATGAAGCTTTACACTGTAGTATCGATTCATAAGCATGCATAAAATACTTCAATTTAAAAAATTAAATCAAATACAACACCAGTAGCACAGTTGTGAATGTTTAGAAAACTCATGATGATGATGATGATTAGTGGAGAAACAAAATAATTGCTAAATATACTGTATTCAAGATAAAATCAAGAGTTGCAAAACTGCGTGAGCAGAAATCATCCAACTCCAAGATGACCTGATGTTATCAACAATTTGTAATATCTAGATACTTATACTGACAAAATGAAATAAAATCAATGAAAAACTCAGAAAATTGCCATACACCGAAACTATTTAGTGAATTATTCATCTCAAGATTACCTCAAAAATGAGACTCTCGGCACTAGTCAGGTACGGTAGCTGTCCTAGAAAGTAGTATTCCCTATTACTGCAAACCTCAGAACACCACAAAGGTTTCTGAGAATCCAAATTGGTCATTCATATGTCAGGTAAACAATTTTAAGGCCAAAATATTTTTAGGGTAAAAAGTAGACAGTTAAAAATGTGGTACAAACCTCCAAGAAATTCAGGAGGATTAAAGCAAAGTAGTTGAGCGACCAAAGGAAATCAAATCGTATAAATATTAAGTATGACTTTAAGGAGCTTCCATAGCTTGATTGGTCAAGAATCTCCTCGGGTATCCCTATCCCGTCTTCAGCCTACAACAGCACAAAACATTTAAATTGCCATAAAAAGATTCAGCAATCAACATTGATATTTCAGTAATACTTCAACAAGATTTTAATACTTCCACTGCATTGCAGTGCTTAGCCTTCACCATGTACCTTTGCTCATTGTTCATAATGTTTTAATTCATGATCAACTACAAAACATCCCTATATGTGTGTTTACAAGAAAAGTCAAGATTGAGGTGAGAGAGAATATTAGGGAATGTTTGGAAGCGTTTTGGATCTTATTTTGATTTTATTTTGAGGAAATATGTTTTGGGGGAATAATTTGAGAATGAAAGTATTGTTTGTATTTTGGAAGGAGAAAAAAATACACTGTAGCAGTCAAATCATGTTTAAAGGTGTTAGAAAAAGGTATTTTTGAAGAAAAAAATTGAAAGATGAAGTGATGTTTATTTGTTTTTTAGTGAAGACATTTTTTTACTGTAGCAGTCAAATCATTTTACTGTAGCAGTCACATCATGTCTAAAGGAGAGATAAACTTTTGAAATTGTTTTGAGAAAATGATTTGAAAAGTGTAATAAATCCCATTTTGTTTTGGGGAAACAATGAAAACAAAATAGAAATGGTTCCAAACATTCCCTTAGTTTCTACATTGCTCAGAAGAAAGTTCAAGCTTTCTTGCCATGATTAATTTTGTAAATATATTAGTGAAGTTCAGAATGTTCAAGAAAACCAAAAGGATCTAGTAGCAGAGGGTGAGAAATCCTCACTGAAACTGGGACGAAGAAAGTTGAGTGTATAATCAGGAACATATTTAACTAACAACAGAAGCCACAAAATTTATAAAGAGCTGTGATTTCTCCATGTCGTGTTATATAGAACAACTATGAAGGATGATGAAACTTCAGCTGTATGTATTCATATTGTGTCCAAAGTGGCTTACATACCCACTCAATAACTTATATTAGCCAGCGAGCAAGTGTGCTTAATGAAGAATAATTTATGCTCGATAATCTCATATTAGATGTATCAAGATATGCATGACGCTATACAAATTCTGATATCCGTATTCTACAAACTTAATTTCCATCAGCTGGACTTATAGATAGATTCATCTCCTCTTCACAATATTGCAAGAAAATTAGTCAAACAAAAATGACAAAACAGGCAATAAGCAAATTATGAGTTACAAATAAAAAAATTAGAATCTCAAATTTAGAAAGAAAATAAGAATTACTTTCTTATTGGCTTCCCACTATGTATCACATATCCAAATCAAAATTTTGTATTGACATATTTAATAATGTCATAGGGTATCTCACTAACTTATGTTCTAAAATGCTTTAAAGTTGGCGCACTAGGGATGAAGAATTAGATAGAATGTAGACAGAAAAAAATTAATTTTTTTTTGGTATTTGTTGCATATAACTCTGATATAGGATAATGAATCCTGAGGAGAATATGTGATCAAAATCTTCCCAATTATCGTCCATAACATTCTTTTAGGGGAACAAATCGAAAGAACACAAACTTATATAGCAATTATGTCTGTTTACAAGAAAAGGAAAGAACAACCCTCTAACTTCCATAACTTGTATTGTCCCATTATGATTACCTCAAGTTTGTTACCTATCCGAGAACAAAAGAATTCTGGATCTATCGATGAGACTCGAGAAAAAAATTTATTATATCCAAAATATCAAAAACTATATGTCGACCTAACTTTCAAACAGCATTCACTCAATTCAAATCCACTCTTGATATACATACATTTCCAATGTGCAGACAATTCAAATCCACGCGTCCTATAAATACTTGAAGGAATCATGAATGTTTAACACGAAAAGAACAATGGCTTTTATTTTTCTTAACCCGTCACATTTTACATAAAGACATGGTAGAATGTCTCAATCTTACCCTGCAACCTTTAGTGAATCATACCTGGAAAAACTTCTACTTCTACTTCTACTTCAAAAAAAAAAAAAAATAAAAAAAAAAATAATTGGCCAACAATCTGACAGTGCCCAACTCATTTTACCAATAACTACTAGTAGTACACTCAAATACATTAATAACCCAAAAATCCCACTTTTGATAATCGTTTGAAAAGATACTGTGACATTGCCATTGAAATCAGGTCTTAGTAAAAAACAAAAAAAAAACAAAAAAAAGGGGGAATAAAGAAAGCTGACATACGAGATCAACCAAAGCAGCAGCTTTTTGATAGGGTGATCCATGAGCAATAGCATCTGTTCTTCGATCGAATAAAGGCTTATGGTCTAACTTTGGTCTGCCAATTCTGACGGCAGCAGCAGATGATGCTACTTCAACATCACCACTACCACTACCACCAAGCAAAGCTGCATCCATTTTTCGAAAAAACTCTACAGATTCAAGATATGGTTTGACTTTGTAAACTCTGTTTTTGTGTGTTTGTGTGTTTGTCTGTGAGAACACAGATCAAACATGTGGTGTGCAATAAAAAAATGTTGTCAAATAAAGGCAAAATTAAGTTTTGACGAAGTGGGAAGTTGAGTGATTAGTTGTTCGTTATAGTAACTCAAGTTGAATTAAAAATGAGGCAGTGTGTGTCAGAGAAATAAACAAGTAGGGTGGGTGGAGAAGGTGTACAGTACGTGTGAGATTTGAGAATGAAAAAATTTATCAAGGGTGGGTGTGGAATTCTGTCGGCACTGTTTGATGGATATGAATGGCAATAGAGACATATTCCAACCCCCTGGGTTACGAGTTAGACCCGCCGGAATTTGGGGGTTTAGAAATTATTATCCGTATCGAACTTGGTGGATCCGGGTCGGACTCGGACCTATTCTTTTAAAATATGGGGCTTTTTGAGAAAACTCCCTCACTACTTTTTTTAATTGAGGGAGGCCCAAAATATTTTAGTCCATTTGAGAAAAGTCCACATCCATTTTCAGATATTATATTTTCCAGTTTTACCCCCGCCCGCCACCTCATCACTAGGTCAGCGCTCCAGGATTTTTTTTTATTTTTTTTTTTCCGTTTTTTTAATCGACTATGAAGCATAGTCGATTAGTCTTAAATCGACTATGCTTCATAGTCGATTAAGGAAAATCTCTAAGTTTTTAATTTTTTTTTTGTTTCTAATTTTTTTTTTAAATTTTTTTTGGTTTTTTTTAATTTTTTTCTCTATCAGGTTTATTAATGCATAGTCGATTAAAATTTTAGCTATAAATAATAATTGAAATCAATTAATCTTGGCTCTAAACTGAAAATTAAAAAAAACAAAATTGAAGTTAAAATCCCTATTTGGAATCAGAGTCCATCAGTTATGTTACCGTTCAAAATAAAATTTATATATTTTTTCACTAAGAATTAATTATTCAGTGCAATTAATGTCAGAAATTCATAGCATGTTTCTCAAGTACATGACGTTGTAATAATAACTAATATTTCATACGTGCGATGCACGGGGATCAATTTGAAGATCAAAATGGATTAGTCTAAAAACCAATGAACTAAAAAATATCGAGGATTTAAATTGAAAACAATCGAACAAAAAATAACAAATTTGTATATCATTTTATCACAAACAATATACATATATATAAACTAACAGCGTTGGAAACATCATCCAAACCGAAATGTCATAACCAACTCCATGAGTGGTGATTGATCATAGCACCACTCTTGCACATTAATTCGAATCTTGATAGAGTAACATACAAAACTACGGTCAAATAAACTATTACCGGATGAATACGCTATAATTATTTATTCGTGTCAATATATAAATTTAACATATTACTTAGAGAGAAAAAATAAGATGTTGGATAGGAAATAAGATCTTTTTAAAAACATACTTAGAGACTGTTTGGCTAAGCTTATAAGCTCTTAAAAACATCTTATAAGATGTTTAGGAGCTTAAAGTTGTTAAAAGATGTTTGGTAAAAAAATTGCAAAAGATCTTATTTTTTCAAAAAACAAGTTGTTAGGGAGTTTATAAGATGTTTTTAAAAAAGTACCTCTACCCCACCTTTTTTCTTTAAGATCTTATTTGCTTCTTTACTAAAACATTTAAAATACAAAATTACCCTCAAATACTTTATTATATTACATGAATACTAATAATATTTATATTTTATCAAAACAACGTATTCTTGTAATCAAGATTAATAATTAGTTAAATATAACTATCGTAATTATCATAATAATTGTAAAAAAATTATTCTCTATTTAAATTTTATATGTATATATAAATACACGAATATTCTTATTATCTCCATCATAAATTATATTTCTTTTATCTACAAAAAAAAATTATATTTCTTTTATAACTTTAATTTTATATCATTATATAATTTATATTAATATTATTATTTGAAAAAATAATTTGTAAATATTATAATAATATTTTAGGATCAAAAGTATTTGAGTCAAATAAGTTTAACAATTATACTGGCGTCATGTACTTTTTTGTCATTATAGCAATAAACAGACCTTTTATATCCAAACACCTGAACAACTTATAAAAACAAAAAGTAACTTATAAGCTACATATCCAAAGACCTTAAAAAATAATTTTTAAAATAAGATCTAACAGCTTATCAGCTCCTAAAACATCTTATCAGATGTAGGAGCTTATAAGATGTTTTAAATAAGCTTAGCCAAACGGGCTCTTATACCCCTCATTTTTATTTAAGATCTTATAATGAGTAGAATATGAAATAAGCTCATTATCCAAACACTCTAAAAATTAATTCTAAAAATAAGATGTAACAGCTGATCAGCTCTTAAAACATCTTATCGGACGTAAGAGCTTATCAGTTGTTTAGAATAAGCTTAGCCAAACACCCTCTTAAATCATGTTAGTAGAGATTTTATATTATTAGAAAAACTTTTAAAATCATAAATTAGTTTATTATCAATTATTTGCATTCTTTTAGAAACATATATATACCGTAGGATTTCATGCCATTAAAATATGGCAAAAAGAATAGTAAATATTGATTGTATTTTTATGTACATTTAAACTATACTAATCTAAAATAAGTATGTTTAGAAGCTTATATTCAAAATTAGTATTCTAATAATTATGTGTACTCTTACAATTAAAATTTGAAATCAAAACTTTTGACAAAATGTAATATATAATATAAAAACTAAATTCTAATTCATGAGGAAAAAAACATTGTTTCGATCCATATATTAAAAAGAAAACTTCATCAAACAAAACCTCTTAGAGGGTGTTTGGCTAAGCTTATTTTAAACAACAGATAAGCTCTTACGTCAGAAAAGATGTTTTAAGAGTTGATAAGTTGTTACTTCTTATTTTTAGGATTAATTTTTAGAGTGTTTGGATAATGAGTGTTAGAATTTATTTCGTGCAAATATTAATTATTTTTGTCAGATTCAGTTTTTCGTTACTGTTACGTGAATGTTGCAACAGTTCGTGAAACAGTTTGTAAAAATAGAAATAAACGAGACACAAATTTAATGTGGTTCGGATACAATTGTACCCTACATCCACGGGGACCTGCAAATGAAATTTACTAATTTTTAGTTTTACGAATACAATAGTAGGACTTAATTAAAATACAAAGACTCCCTCTTTGTTGACGTCGTTCTTGTATACTACGCTGAATTATAAATCTTCAATTTGCAGCACGTCCTCTCCGCTCAGTTGAACTTCCTTCAACGCTGAATCCCTCAGTCGGCGGATCGATCTCCTCCCGAGATCTGTTTAAGCCCATCTTCCGAAGAACCGATCTTCTTTTTGTATAGAAGAAGCAAACTTGTGATAATCCTTGAATCTTGGTGTCTTCACCACAAAGCCTTTAAGCCGATATTTTTTCTATGAAAATCATGTATCACGATGGAGCAATAAAAAACGAGAGGAGAAAATATTTTCTCAGAAAAAATTCTCTCGATAAAAATACGCCGGAAGAGCAACAAAGAAAAGAGAAATATTTTTCTGTAAAAAAACAAGAATTAATATTTGCACGAAATAAATTCTATGAAAAAATACGCCGTGCAGTGCTACTATTTATATTCTATGAAAAATAAGAATCCTATAAAAAAACAAAGCCCATTAGGGTTATAATTCTTTACACACGTAAAAGCATGTATTTGAGAATAAAGGAAGTTTTTTAAGAATAAAGATAATTTAATATATAAACCAATTAATGACAATTTAGCAAACTAAAACTTGAAAAATAAATATATTCTTCCCTTTTCTCATGATACACGGCTCTGTGTATGCTCAAGGAAGAAAAACTTTCTTTCCATGTCACATGGTATTAAGGAATCTCAATTTCTTAGAATTCTCCATGGTTTCTCTTAAGTAGAATCTAACTAGATTCTAACAATCTCCCCCTTTGTCATTGATTGGTCAGAACATTTACTCCCCCTAAATATATTGTATCTGCATGAACAAGGGTTAGCAAATTCAAAATAACATCTGCAAATATAAACTGTTGCAACAGTTCATCAAACTGTATAAGCTCTTAGCAAAAACAACTTAGTAAAGTAGATAGTCAAAATTGTTCAATTAAGCAGGGAACAACAAAAACACTATGCAGTAGCAAAATCAACTTCCATTTTCAATGAATTCCTCCTTCAATGAGCTCCTGTATTTTTTGCATTGTTCCAGCAACTGTCGGATGAACTGTCTCAACAGTTGTCTGAACTCCCCTGCATTCCAGCACTGTTCCAGCAACTGGAACTCCCCATGCATTCCAGCACTGTTCCAGCAACTGCCTAGTGCACTGTGGCAACAGTTGTTTGAACTCCCACTATGTCCATGCTAGCTTTACTGTTATTTTCTCCCCCTTTCTGGGCAATGACTATACATAGATAAATCAACATGAACTAATGATCTTGATGTGTCAAGCAATTTGTTCAAACACTTAACAAAAAGATCAAACGAAGAGAATATCTTAAAAGTAAGTAAGAAGAATCACCATACATAACGAGCACACAAAATCACAACCTCACAGCTCAATATCACACGATAATTGCAATGGAAAATCAAAGGATAGTGATATCAAATCCAACATTAAATAACAAAGACTACAGACTTTGCCAAACTTCATACGAAACGTGGAAATGTGAGTAGTAGGCCCAATAGAACCGGTTGCAACAAAAATTCAAATTTAACCGGCACATAAACAAAAATCTCCTCTCTCTCTCTCTCTCTCTCTCTCTCTCTCTCTCTCTCTCTCTCTCTCTCTCTCTCTCTCTCTCTCTCTCTCTCTCTCTCTCTCTCTCTCTCTCTCTCTCTCTCTCTCTCTAAATAATGTCTAATGCAAGACAAGAAGTAAACATGAGAAATAAACATGAGTGAAGAGACAGATGTGAATAGGATACTGCATGGACAAACAAAACATATGAGATTTATCTTCACATTCACGATAAGCGCAATCCACAAAAACGTTGTGCAGTGCTGCTATTTATATTCTATGAAAAATAAGAATCGTGTAAAAAAAATCCCATTAGGGTTATAATTCTTTACACACGTAAAAACATGTATTTGAGAATAAACGAAACTCTTTTTAAGAATAAAGATAATTTAATTTATAAACCCAATTAATGACAATTTAGCAAACCAAAACTTGGAAAATAAATATATTCGTCCCTTTTCTCATGATACATGGCTGTGTGTATGTTCAAGGAAGAAAAACTTTCTTTCCAAGTCACATGGTATTAAGGAATCCCAATTTCTTAGAATTCTCCATGGTTTCTCTTAACTAGAATCTAACTAGATTCTAATTTCTAACAATGAGCTTATTTACTATTTTTACTCATTATAAGATCTTAAATAAAAATGTGGGGTAAAGGTATTTTTTTTAAAATATCTTATTTGATTATTGTTGACTATGCATTAGTTGAGTTCGCATTAGCTGACATCCGAACTTTTTTTTTTCTTCTAACTCTTTTTTCTGGTGGCGGATATTTAGGGCTCTGATTAGCTTACTAAGCATTAGTTGACACCCAATTGTTTTAGTGTTGAAGTCAGCTAATCGTAGAGCCAATGATCTGCCATCGGGGGAAAGAAAAAAAAGATCGAATGTCAACTAATGTTGAAGTTAACTAATGTTGAGTCAGCGAATTAACCGGAGATCCGACTATCCGCCGATGGTGAAAAAAAGAGAATAAAAAAGAGATGTCGACTAATGTTGAATAAGCTAACCGGAGCTCCGACGACCGACCACTAAAAAAATTAAAAGAAAAAATAATAATAATAATAATAAATAATTAAAAAAACAAAAGGTCGGGTCGGGTCAGACCAGACGTGATCGGACCGGACCTAGTGGGCGGGGTAGGATAGGATGGAGGTGGGTTTGGCTTATCTCAAATAGAAATATGTAGGACTATTTTGGGAATTCATGTTTTTTTAGTTTATTTGAAATGAAAGTTAAATGGTGAGTTGATTTGTAATAAAAAAAAAATCATGGGCCTAACTCAAATTCACCCTTAAAATAAAGTTGTGATTTTTAGATAAACCTGAATAGAAATGAAAATGAGTAACATATGTTTTTTTTTAAAACATTAAATTGGAATGGAAGTAGAAGAATATTGTTGAAAATAAAATGTAAAATAATCGAAGATTTTTATACCATTAGGCCTATTAGAACATGCTTAATTAATAATGAGTATATGCTATTGGAGAGATGATATAGTTTTTGAATATTATATTTCTAATCTCAAGTAATGGACAAAGACTTTCTAAAAAACAAGAAAAATATTTGACAAAGACGTGCCTAAGTAATGAAGAGACCCATGTGGGCAGTTGCATTTTGGTAGTTGTTAAGCATAATGTACAAAAGACAATTTGCAAATAAGAATAAGATAGTTTGTTTGACCGATCCCCACTGGATCTTGATAGTTTTTTTTTTTCGTCCTTTTTTTAGAAGATGATGATGCATCAGCCATCAAGTGAAGTATAAATAATTGTTCATAGCACGAACAGGGGAATACATGCACCTCAGTAATTTTGATTTATAAATTTAATCAGCAAAGGAAAAAAAATGATTTTGTAGATGATTGCTGCTAGTATTATTATTATTATTATTATTATTATTATTATTATTATTATTATTATTATTTTCTTTTCTTTTTTTTTTTTTTTTTATTTTATTATTTTTGGTAATCAAGAAACTCAATCTATATAGTTGTATTAGGTAAACATCCACTAATTTGCAATAACTGACAAACTGCATCACTCAGAACTTGAGTCTTTGGCACAAATTATTTTGGTCAGCCCACTAGGTCAGCCTTTGCAGGGCATTTGTAGATGATTGATACATATATCAATTGTAAAGTGCGTGGAATAGCTCATTGCACGATTACGGGAATACATGCACAAGGAAAAACTGCGGCAATGTTTGGAATCATTTTGGAAGTTATTTCCATTTATTTTGTGGAAATATGTTTTGATGGAATAATTTGAGAATGAAATTAATTTTTATTTATATCTTGTGAGGAAACAAAATACACTTTAGATGTTAAATCAATGTTTAAAGTTTTGGAAAAAAATATTTCTAAATAAAAAATTTAAAAAATAAAGTGATATTTGTTTGTTTCCGATAGAATCTGGACGCAGCACAAATAATATTTCACATCAATTTTCTTATCACCAAACTTGTTTTTACTGTGTCGTTTAATTATGATTTAAATTACATCTCACAATATAGAAAATACAAAAGTGGTAGGTATATATGCACGCAATTAGATATTAAGCAAACGAAGATAATGTGGCAGAGAGAAAATTGAAAAGGATTAATAAAATTTGAAGGTCCACAGCCAGAATCTGGTACAAGATCACGTGATTAAGCAAAGCAAGCTACGTTTACTCACAATAGACAGTATAGAGATATATTTTCTTACAAAACCTTGGTAATAATAAAGCACAAACAATGAATCTCTTATCTGAGTACTAATTAAAATATTTGACGACCTTTTTACAAACAGTAAGAGAAAAATGAAGTAACCAGCAAAATAAATGATAGTTGGGATCTTCTGCGGCGCCAGTTGATCAGAAACAAATAACAGGAAAATGCTGCTATATCCGCACTAGAAAACCTCAAAAACGAGACTCGACTCGACTCTCAACCTGCGAAACAAAATTTCGTTTTCTTAGCCATCAAATTGACTTTCTACAAGGGAAAGTAAATCCATTGTTAATGAAGGTTAATACCATCGAAACACTCCAATGAAATATAATACAAGAATAACAATAAGCACTAGATATTCCAGCACTATCTCAACACTTTAAATAATTGCAATTACGTGGGTTTAGCAAACACCTACTTTCTAATTCATATGTCTATAGATTCTTCAGCTCAAACAGGAAATCAAGAATGGCATGGTAAGCTAACGGAAATTCAACCTAATATAGGTAGTCGGGCATCTTACCTTCCTTTCTTGAACTACAAAGACATAAAAAATGTATACATATATATCTATATAGAAAAGGACTATCTATAAAATAAGCTAAACTAATAAAATTAGCTTAGCCTTTTAAGGTTTTTAATGCGTATGCGCATTGTCAATCCAATAAATTATGTCATGTTAGATAATTTGAACCTTTATAAATTATATCAGCGGCGGTGTGAGATTAGAAACACCTATAAACCTGCATCCAGCTTAAGGTCAAATCTGCAATTTATCAGTTATACTGGAGCTTGCATAGATTCTGCCATCCTTATCTGACCGGACAAAAGCTGGCAGTATTCACATTACTGAGTAGACTCAAGGTATCCATGTCGGGCATTATAAGGGCAGTTCAATTGTATCCTATTAATAATAATTATCTAGGAAAGATTGATATTTTCTATATATATAGGCATAAAGGTCGACAGAAAATGTTTTGATTGGAAAATTCTCATTTTTTATCTGAGCAAAAAGTCGATATTGAGGCCTGGATCATGATTGTTACGATAGGACTCAAAATACTCAAGTTCGTACTAATGATTCTCAAAACAATTCAAAAAAATATACTTTTTGTCTTATATGAGTGCAGAAACAGGAAATATTACTACATCACAACGGGAATATGCTATGCGATGCTATGACGAGGGTGAAAATAGTTAGAAGTAGTTACCTTTCTTACGTATCAGCCTTAGGTTTTCTTCCAGCCACAATCTGGGATATATGCAGACCCCTGCTGAATGCTTGATTGAAAAGAATCCTTGTTTGCATGTTTTGGAACCCAGGCAGCCACGAAAGAAGGGCAAGAGGTACCATGACAATCACTCCAAACATAATGTCGTACATGCGAGCTACAGACACAACAGTATCCCAAATCTTTACTTTCTCCAGTAAGGGCCGAAATACCTGTGCGATAGATATAAACCCCCACCCAGTGGGAATAAAAGCCAGTAAACTGGTGAAAATATCCATAAACTTGAAACTGGTGAACTCGAGCAAGGCAATCATCAAAACTACTGCAAGTATAATGACAAGGAACTGGACCAAACGGTAATAAATGTGTTCTTTTGCAGAATATTTGTCCCGAGCATATGCAATTATCGTGTATAGTACAAGAGCCACAACGACATAGATCCACGAAAGCAAATAAACAGCAATGCTCTTGCTTCCAGCAGTAATGCCCAGTTGATATACAATCCCGTACTGGAAAAAGAAGAAACGGAGGTCCAAAATGATTTCCAGTACCTTTCCCCAAAGCCCAGTTGTCCTTAAATGATCTTGCTCTTCATACCACCACTTTTCCCAGCTCTGTTCAGATTTTGCAAACACACCACCCTTGAACCATATCCAATCCATGAACTCATCAAAGTCATATACAGTTTTTAACCAATCAAAGCCCAAAGGATTGAAAATGAACGGCCCCAAAATCCACGACACCACTAAAAACCAACTGGTAATGGTCAGTGCTATGTACACAAGAGTTCCTTTAGCTACCGGGCTGTAGGAAGCATATACAGTGAGTATCAGTCCGAGTTCAATCGCCTTCACAAAATGACTACGAGCGTATAATCTATAGTTCTCCACAAACTTCTTATGCTCTACCACAAAGCCACGGCCAGTTGCGCGGTATTTAGCACCACCATGTAGAATAGTTCTGCCAAAGTAATGACCACGGGTCCCCATGGAGAATGTATAGAATACAGCAGAAAGTTGGAGCTGCATTGTTATAAAGTCCCAAATAGCATTCAGAAAGCCATGCTCGAGTGAATTCTCAACAACCATTGGCAAGGCAGTAAAGAGACCAAGTTGGATGATTAACTGCTGGTTCAAGATTGTACCAAGTGCTCGATTATCGTTCGAACCTGCCAAGGCAAAGCCTTCTAGCCCACTCAATGCCAGATAAAGCCGGCCCCACAAAAATGCATAAACAGTAAGGAGAATCATCATGGTATTGAAGAAAAATCCCACCGTAGTATAAAAGAACGAGAGCATTCGAAAAAAGTCCAGCCTATGACCCAACCTGTAAACATCTCGGCTCAGTATTTGCTCACCGTTCCCACTAGCAACCTTGGCTTCAAACATGGAAATTTGATTCAGCCCAACATCCCTTCCCTTTCCAACTTGGATGTATTCATGGTGAGTAACATTCCCGCCTCTCAATGTGCAGTTAAATCCAGCAAAAATATCCTCACTAATGTTGATCACTCTAGAAGCCTTGCTTAGACCTCCCCGAGTCAAAAACCAAAACCTGTCAAACACATCAGGGTGCCCATAATGCATCCGAACTTTCAAAGGGTTGGCTAAAACACGCTGCCCCAAAGTGACAAAACTCGTTTCTTGTGCAGACATGAACCACGCAAGGGATGATACAGAACCTGTGAAAATGTGCTCCCGAACTCCAAGGATAGTAGGCTTCCTAATACCGTAGAAGGATTTGAATTCCTCCAAGAGATTTCGCATCTTCAGAGCCTCCTCAAAATAGTTATCCTGGTTCATGTCAATGGTCTGAACTGCATCTCCTCTAGTGAAGATAATGGCATGATTCTGATTCTCTGGTTTCCCCTCTCCAAGCTTCAATGGACCAGGAAGCTTGACCCGGTATATCTCAACTTCTTTATCCAGGGTCCGATCATATTTCACCAGGACAGAAAAATACTCTTTCTCATCCCTCTCTGACGACACCTCATCAACATAGGCAACACGGAGTGCTTCGTTAATTTTCATCAAATAAAGTATCTCATCGGCATGAGGATCCTTTTTGGCTTTCTGAGAACCATAAATCTGGCATGCAACCACATAAGTAAATTTCATTAAAACTGTTCCACGCTCGTGACCTTTAAAAAAGGCACTGACTGAACTATTTCCTCTGCTCAAAGTTCTTGAGGAGGATGAATTTTCTGAATCATCCATGTCATCATTATGCCTCATGGAACCCAATTGCTGAGATCCTTCTCTCATGTCCATCTCAGAAGCAGAATCCAGAAAAGCCAGCAACTCAAGGGCACGATAGTAATACATCATTCCCCTCACCGTGCGAATGAGTGTTTGGCCTCTGTATGATGCCCACATCCGCAGTTCTCTCAGCCTAGTTGTCTCGAGTTCCTTTTCACTAGTCATACCTTCTCGCCGCATCCTTTCCAAGAAGTTCTTCCAATCACTGGCATAGATGGTTTTCAAGTAGTAAAGGGTTGATATCCCATCTTCATTCTCAGTTCGGAGACTTTCCTTGCTGTATAACACCTCTTCACTGTAGTAGGGGGTCAAAACACTGAAGGCCATCATTTTCTCAACCTGAGGAGCATGAGGCATGTTCATGAACAAGGAATTACTGAAAAATGCAATTCTGCGCCTTGCCTCAAGATTTTCTGGAACCTTCTGCATGGAATCCTGAGAGATGAGAATTGTTTGCAATCGACGTACACGGCGATAAAACATCTCATTACTTGCACTAGGCAACTCAACAGCATTCTGAAAAAGCAATATTTCACCAGAAACTGCCGCTTGAGGAGCAAGACCATCTTCCTTCAGCTGCTCGTTGTTTCTGGGCTCTTTCAGGAAATCTCTAATCGCTGTCTCGTAAAGAGCCTGAAGAGCATTCACCACCTTATCAGTATCTTTATCAGGCTTCAAGGCAAGATTAAGAAGATGAACCAACTTTCCATGGATTTTAGGAAGTGCATTCATCTTATAATTTTTTGTAAACTTCTCCAGCTGAATCCATTGATCAACTTCTTGGAAGAAAGTTTTGATAATAGACCGTTCCTCAGAATCATATTTCACAATTGACAGTAAAAAGTGCTTTACGCTATCATATGCTTCAATGACTGCACATCTCCTATACTCGGTCTTACAGATCTTATGCCAAAGCCACCTGTCAGGAGCATCTGATAACTCTTGTGCCTGGCTGAGTGCAAGCAGTAGCTCATTACAGAGTAGCAAGCACGGCCACTGAATCACCCGAATTTCCCAGTTACATTTAGGATCTTTTCTGTCATTCTGAGGCAGCTCCAAAAGCTCAACCTCGCGGTCACAGATAATGTCTTCCTCTCTGAATGTATTGATTATCTCATTCCATATCAACGCAAATTTATAGGCCTCCACCTGGTTGGATTCAAGTTTTTTAAAGGGGCGTCCAAGCCCATATCTCAGCTTCAGTCGGTTAATGGCATCCCTGAACTTGCTCTTAAACGTTCCCCTGGCATTCATCAGCTGCTCCTCAGGCATAAGATTAAACTGAATAGCACTGGCAAAAAATTGAAATCTCAACCTCAACTGCTGCATGTTTCGAATTTCACCCAAGTGGTCAAACAACCCAACTGCAGCTCCGACAAAAGAGGAGTAAATTGAATACCAAATCTGGAGATCCATTAGGTAAATCAAAATAACCGGGAGCCACAATAGCCCAACTGCAAATCGGTTACTATTATCAAAGAACTCGTGCCACTCATAAACAACGTTTTTAAGCGACAGCAAGTCCTTTGTCGGAGCAATCATGGGCTTAATCTGCATGAAGTAACTGAAAACAAATTTTGTTGCAAGCACTACAATCCAGAAAAGGCTATACTTAACATTATCCACAAGACCTTCCCTAAGCCCCCGACCCACAAAACTCCTGCTTTGGAACCACCATGACAACAAATAAAATATCTTCCAATTTGTGTTCTCCAAAAAATTTCTAACCCACGGCAGAACAAACAGAGCCAAAGCTAACAGCTCTGGAGCAATAAAAGCCACCACAACCTCAAGGAAATTTACCACAATCCTGTTTGCAGCACCAGACCACTTCCCATCATCTTTATTCTTCTGATTCCATATCCTTCCATAAAACACCCCAAACACCACAATCCATACAGCTGCAACAACGGATTTCAAAACCATCCTCACTCCCAATGACTTGGTCTCCCTCGACACCAAATTGTACTGCATTGCAATATCCAACAAAGACTGCACGAACCTCAACACGCTCCATGTGATAAACAAAGTCAAACACCTCACCTGAACGTCCCTACTACCCAATGCCTGCCATGGATACTCCCTCTCCGCCCAAGCGACAATAATGGCTGCCTGGAGGAATAAAATCAGCATAATCCATAGCTTATCGAAGCTCCTAAATAAATTCAAAAATGACCTCTGCTCAACAAACCCCGTCTTTCCTACTTTCTTCCCCTTATTCCCCGTCACAAAAAAATTACTCCCGACATCAATCGGCCATTTCAGCTTATCAAAGCACCTCTTACTCCAAAAGTACTCATTTATATCATCGTAATTCCGCCACGCAGAGTGTGGTGCCGTCCCATTCTTACTGTTCTCCACCTCAGCTTTTACAGTTTCATATATTGGCTTCACAATTTGGTTCAGAAAAGCGTTCTCCCCCGATATAGAAGGTAAAAAAGGCCTCCCAGTGTTCTCATCAATATAGTCCTCCAATATCTTATTCAATTCCATAGCCATATTATGAAAGATATACGAAATACATTCCGGAATGAAACGTAAATTGGCAGACTCGCCCCAAATAAGCAAATAGAGCGAAACGTACAAGAGCTCGCGCCTGTGATCGGAGGACGAGTGGCGGGAGTTAGAGTCGGACAGCCAAATATTTGACTTGAGGTTGAGGTACGAGCACCAACTGGAGTAATTCTTCAAGAGATGGCGGCGGAAGCGGCGGAGGACCGAGGGGTCTAGGGTGTCGATGTTGTCAGGCGGCGGCGAGAGGCGCATCTGAGCATTTGAGAGGTGGAGCACGAGGTGCTCCCTCTGGTTCTTCACGCTAGAGGATTGGAAGCCGAAGAAGAGGGCGAGCCAGTCGAGGAGGTCGTAGTTGGGCATCCATGGCGAGAACGGAGGGCGGCGGAGGTCACCGACGGAGCGGAGTGCGGCGGCGGCGGCGCGGACTTCGGGGAATCGGAGGGAGGGGTGGTCGGCGAGGAGGTTGTGGATTGGGATGATGTTGTAAACCTCGTCATCCTGTGGTCGAGGTGGGCGTTGATTCATTGTAGCATTCGCCGGAGAGATCTGAGAATTGAATTGCTGCAGGGTTGACGCAGTGTGTGTGTGTGTGCGTGTTGGAGGGTTTATATATTTGGTTTTCTGTGTATCTCCAGATTTGAAATCGGAAGAAAGACTTCAACACTTTTCAAATGACTATGGCGGATGGGCGATTTTACGCTGTATTTGGATACTGATGGCGATTTGTATGGTACGCACTGCTCTATTTGTTGTACATTAGTTTTACTTTTCTTTCCTTTTTATTTTTTTATTTTTTAATGGGTCAATTACAAACACCCCCTGAGGTATGATCAAATTACAAAAACCCCCATTTTGTTTGGATAATTACATCTACCCCTCAACTGTGATTTTTCCTTAGACATCCACCCTTATGGTGCCAAATTCAACATAGTGATCTAGATTCCGTGAAATGAGCTCTAGTTTGTACTCACTTTTTTGTATATATACAAGCTAAAAATCACATATTATGATCATCTTGCTTCATAATGTAGAGTTTGAATGGGATAAAACTGGTACAAAAGTGATAATATTCCATATAATCTCGAAGATTCTACTAAATTTGAGGAGTTGAGGGGGTGGTTGTAATTATCCAAACAAGAGGGGTGTTTTTGTAATTTGACCATACCTCAGGGGGGTGTTTGTAATTTACCCTTTTTTAATAGACAAAAAGTTATTTATTGGCCTTCTTTCAAGAATTTTATGTAACAATTAATATTCTGAATTTCAATGTGTTGGACTAGGACTAGGGGTGCAAGTTGGAACGGATTTTCCAATTTCCGCTGGTTTCGATCCGAAAAGTTCCGATTTTGGAAAAACTTTTTTCATTCCGACTTCCGAAATTCCGATTTACGAATTTTTCCGATTTTTTTGGATTGGAATTGGAATTATATAAAATAAATTTGGAATTTCCGATTGCCGATCCGATTTAATTCCGAAAACTTCCGATTTTTTTTCCGAAAAATACACCTATAAATAGTATATATTATATAATACTTATTTTCTGAAAAATACACCTATAAGTTTTGTTTTAGGATTGTGACATAATGAATTGTTGTTAGAAGTTTTATTGGATATTATGCAATGTTTATTTTTATTTATTTTTTTGAACTGAAATTTAGTAGTTATTGGTTTTACTTTTATCGACGTGGATATTCTTCTTTTTGAAAAATTATGAACATTTTAGAAAATTTCGGCTTCGTTTTGAAATTTTAAAGCTTATGTGATTTCCGATTTTTTTTCCGAAATTCCGAAATTTCCGGGCCTTTTGGAATTGGAATGAATTTTTAGATTCCGAAAATTATGGAATTGCAATTGGAATTGATTTTGTACTTCCGAAATTTTTTGGAAATTTTCCGAAAAGGCTAATTCCGATCCGATCCATCCGACTTTCACCCCTAACTAGGACTAAGGATTCCATTTGGATCTAATATGATTTATTTTATTCCTCCCACTAACCCAATTTTGAATGGTAAAAAATGAAGAAAAAACAATGACGCGTTTGTCTTGAAATGGTTGAGATAGAAACAGTCTTAACGCGTTACCCCATATATTATACAATAAATAGAAGACAAATCTATCCAAAGTCCAAAGTCAATTAAATTCATCAATATTGGTCACTTCTTCCTAACTGAAACTTGGCTCTTAAGTTATACATTAGCTCCAATGGTATACAAATTATCAATTGGAAGGTTTTTTTTTTTTTTTGATTTTATTTATAATTTCCACATGTTAATTTGTTAATGGAGCAGGCGAGTTTGTGTTAATTGAATCAAGTTTAAATTCTTTTACCAACGGTTGCTAGGTCAAACTCGTCACACATGGTTAGCCTAATGGAGTTGACGCCTCCCGTATGATTTGCAAGCTATTATACGAGAATGTAAGTTTACCCATTGCATCTCTATGATTGGCTGGGGGTTCCTTCATTACAAAAACAATAAAAAAATCAACTCCGATGAAGTTATCAAATGAAGGTTCTATTTTGATAAATCACTTCTTAGGATGTAAATATATTTGCTGGAAATTCAGTTATAGAAAATGTAACCACCTACACATACAATCTCAAGTTGACACGTGACAGTTTCAAATAAAACCACCCATAAACTTGTTATTGATAATGTATTTGATAACCATGGTTGGAGTAGATTAATTTTAAATTAATATTATCTCAAATATCAAAAGTATTTAATAACTCAATTTTTATATCTAACATTCGAGTTGCTCTTAATAGGTTATTCATTTGATAACTCAATCTGCAGGTAGTATTTTTAAATACAAATATCTGGAATATCAAAATAATAACCCCTTTTATACTCTCATTGAAGGAGAATTTTTTCTTTTTTTAATTTTAAGGTATCAAAAAGGGTGTTTATATGTTTGATAATCGATTTGATACTCAAACTCAAATTGAAGTTGTTCTGTCATAGAAAAAAGTGTTTATGGCTATGGGAATTTTGTTGGGAAAGTGTTGTTGTACAAGCTGCATCACTACCATCATGCCTAGGGATGGCCATGGGGCGGGTTTTGCATTCCCCGCCGCACCCACCCCGTTAACAAACCCGTTCAATCTGCACCTGCTCCACCCTGCAATGGGTATAAATTTTACCAACCTACACCCGCCCCATAGAAAACTTGTGGATACCCGCCCCGCCAAAAAACCCGTAAAGCTGAAGAAAAAATGTAAAAAAATTAAGGGTAAATTCCCACACCCCTGAGGTATGCTTAAATAACTTTAAGGTCCCTGTGGTATTACACTCACCCCCTGAAACGTAGTTAGAAACTCTAACGGGATAATGCATTGGATAGATTATTCCGATAGGGTTCTAATGGACTATTACTTTTAGCTAGTGGTGGAGATAACATAGAGTTATGGGAAGTTATGGGATGACATGGCTTCCCCAATATTTCTTAAATCACGCATAACTCTTTGTTGTCTCCACCACTTCCTGAAACCAATAGTCCGTTAGAACTCTATCGTAATAACATATCCAATGCATTATCCCATTAGAGTTTATAACTACGTTTCAAGGGGGTGATTGTAATTATCAATACTACATAGATCTTATAGTTATTTAAGCATACCTCAGGGGTGTGGGTGTAATTTACCCAAAAATTAAAAATAATAATAATAAAAAAAAAATTGAATACCCTAATGAAAATAATAACTCTAAAATCTAAATCAGGATATAAAATGTATTATAATGATATTATAAAATAATATATATATATATATATATATATATATATGGGGGTGGGTACGGGGCGGATCTGCGGGGCGGGTATATACAAACCCGCCCCGAACCCGTTTCCGGGTGAAGAATTAGAACCCGTACCCGCCCCAATTATTTGCGGGGCGGGTATTACCCGAAATTTTCGGGGAGGGTCGGGGTGGGTACCTGCGGGTCGGGTAAAAATTCCCATCCCTAATCATGCCTCGTAAGTGTCTTAAATCATTGTACTGTTTTATCTTATATTACGATGTAGTTACAGAGCCATATTTTGGTGACATGTTTTCCTTATGCGGCAATTTTGTGACAAAAGAATAATCGTAGTTGTTGTTTGCAATGGTTCTGGTGTATGAGGATTAGAGTTTATTATATCATTGATGTTGTTGATTCAGTTCACATGACATTGGTTTGTGGATAAATGATTTTTTCTGTTTTGTTGCTTTATAAAGTTTGGGTGGAGAGACAAGAAATGGATAGTTATTTATACAAAGTGTTGTTTCCTTCCATGTTCATCTTATGTATCTTGCATCTGCTATTTTTTTAGCCTGCTGTCATTTGAAGTTTGAACAAATTTGTTGAATTTCACAGTGTTACATGTGGCCTCAAATAAACCAAACTTGTATTCCGTTTTATTGCGTGTAACTTGGAGTAGTTTGTGAAACTAGAGACTCCTTGTGTCTTTGACAATATTGTTTTACAGACTATAGAGTATAGACCATGGTTATTGTGCACAATCTTGTTGTGGTGGAAATTGAAACATAATTTTCGAATTCCACTAATTTCGATCTAAATATTTTCATTGGAACAATATTTTTTAATTTCTAATTCTGAAAGTTCTGATTTCCATTTTTTCTTGGAATTAAGCTATAATACATATTAGATTAAGATCCGATTTTAATTTGCAAAAATTCCTATTTTTTTGGGGGGGAAATTACACTTATAATATCAAATATTATTAGGGCAAATTACGGCCACCCCCCTAATGTATGGTCAAATTACGAAAAAACCCCTCTTGTTTAGATAATTACAGCCACGCCCTCCTTTAAAATATTTTTACGTAAAATTTATGTAATTCGGTTATTTACTGAACCAAATCGTATATTTTGTTCGGTAAACGGTATGAAATGTTCGCGTACCGAAATTTTGGTCCGGTTTTACCGCATTAACAACCCTAAATTTACCTCTGGAGGGGGTCTTTTCGTAAGATAAATACATAGTTGAGGGGGTGGCTGTAATTATCCAAACAGGAGGGGGGTTTTCGTAATTTGACCGTAGCTCAGGGGGGTGGCCGTAATTTGCCCATATTATTATGTATATTATACTCTCCAGGGAAAGCAAGGGCCTGAGTTTGGTTGATATTAAGGCCGATATTGGAGGCGCCGCCGTTGAGTACTTGGCAGAAGCACTCCGGTTGTGCTCTGACCACCGTGCGGAGCTGGGTGCAGCAGGAGGTGGATGGGGCGGAGGAGTTGCCGGAGATGTAGTTGAGGCACGGCGACATGCTGATTAGGATATTTGTGCAGCCACTAGATTGGGCCTTAGCACAGGCTCAAATTGTAGTGGCGAAAATCACACCAGGATATTAGTATAAGCATTAGTATATTATGATTCGTATTAGCAATAGCATTAGGATATATTAGTATAAACATTAACATATTTTTATATACAAAAGAAAGGTTTGCTCCGATACCCTACATCCATTTTTATGAAATATTTGTAACCTTAGGGTTATTTTCAATATTTTCTGTTTATGAAAGTTTTAACTGATTTTTTGAAATTTTAATTTGGTTAATTTAATAAGGGCGGCGGTCATATGTAAGCCCATTTTTTTATTAGTTCAAGACCTCCAACATAAAAATACTAATTTACCCATAGAGAAATTCAAAATCAAATAAAAAACACAAAACATTAAAAAGAAAAAAAAATTTCTTTTGTGCAAGACCAAATAAAATACATAACCCCAGAAACCCCCCTTCA